TACAAACAAGGGAACTATACATTCAGGGGACATGACCAAGTCATACATCAGGCTAAAGACAAAACTGAGATTCCAATTTCATTTACCCCAAAACTAGCCTAATCTGATTCCACTACACCATGGCCCTCTGGAACTGCTCAAAACAGGACCCCCCACAACACTTCATATTCATAATATTTGCTTTTTAAAGAGTAGTATAACTCCATCCTAATGAAATGCTACCAAAGTACACCTAAAGAAAATTACCAGTACTCTCATGATAGTCTGGAAGAAAATCACTAGCTTGTTTACAAGATATGGCAAGCTCATAAAAATAGGATGTATTTAAAAAATAAGCAATTCAATTCTTAAAATAAAAATTATTGATGCTGTCTGTGCTTACTGTTCATGAAGGAAGGTCACCTCCTTTCAATCAAAAGGAAGCCCAAGGCTGAATACATAGTCAAGGCCCTGAAGTCTGCCTGCAGTGGAAGTACTTTCAGTCATTATTTTGTGGTTGGGATGTACCAGGTACAATGCATGCTATTAGGACACAAGAAGGAACAAGAAAAAAATCCAAAATCTGGGCAGTTTCATGTATGTAAATCAGCAGTGACTTACATAAATATCATGTGTATGAAAATAACCGTAATGAACCAATTGATAAGCATTATAATAGAAGATCAAGAACATAGACAGGAGGGGGCTTCTATTTCTCCCTCATCTAGGAAGGATGTAATTTGAGACACCAACTCAAAGAGGAATTTAGCTGGTCCAAAGGACCAGTAGGGAGATTCCAAGGCAAACAAACAAGACAGGGGAGAAAGGAAGGTTATATGCTTTGGCTGGGTTCCCCTCAAATCTCATGTTGAATTGTAGCTCTCATAATTCCCACCTGTTGTGGGAGGAACCCAGTGGGAGATAATTGAATCATGGGGACAGTTTCTAACTTATTGTTCTCGAGGTAGTGAATAAGTCTCATGAGAGCTGATGGTTTTATAAAGGGTTTCTATTTCACTTGGCTCTTATTCTCTCTTGCCTGCTGCCATGTAAGAAATGCCTGGCCGGGCGCAGTGGCTCACGCCTATAATCCCAGCACTTTGGGAGGCCGAGGTGGGTGGATCACGAGGTCAAGAGATTCAGATCATCCTGGTCAACATGGTGAAACGCCGTCTCTACTAAAAATACAAAAGTTAGCTAGGAATGGTGGCGCGCACCTGTAGTCCCAGTTACTCGGGAGGCTGAGGCAGGAGAATTGCTTAAACCCAGGAAGCGGAGGTCACGGTGAGCAAAGATCATGCCATTGCACCTCAGCCTGGGTAACAAGAGTGAAACTCCGTCTCAAAAAGAAAGAAAGAAAGAAAGAAATGCCTTCTGCCTTCCACCATGATTGTGAGGCCTCCCAGCCACGTGGAATTGTGAGTCCATTAAACATCTTTTTCTTTACAAATTACCCAGTCCCAGGAATGTCTTTATCAGCAACGTGAGAATAGACTAATACAGAGGGCATCCTAAGTGAAGTAAACAGTTTGTGCAAAGGCAGAGAAGCACAAGAAAACTTGTGATCCTTGTACATTGAGAATATAGGTTGATTAGGCAGGTGATATATGGGAGGGTGCCAGGTGAAGAGAGATGGTGCTAAAGTCAGGGAGGGGCATAAAAAAGGAGCTCTTCTCATAAGTGCTCACCAATGCTTCCCGCTCCTCCTCCTCCTTATTGCTCTTAATTTGAAGGTAGAAGATCAACATTTAAAATGAGAAATGAACAAAGAGAGAAGAAAGAATAGGGAGAGAGAGATAAAGAGACAGAGGGAGAGAGATATATATAGAGAGAGATGAAGAGAAAGAGGCTCAAGGATGGAGAGAAGGAGAGAGCATGAATTACAGAGATCTGACAATAACTCACCAGGTGCTGAATACACAGTTATTGGAGGTTATTGCAGAGTGACATGGGGAACATAATTATTCCTGATAAAGACTTTCACAAAGAGGTGAAAAACACACAGGTGTTTCTGTTCTCAAAGCTCCTGTATCTCTCTGGGAAAGCAGAAAGTCAAGATTAACATGGCCTTACAACCATGCAAGTAAACAAATTATACAGAGTCATAAGCATCACTGAGAACCATTCCCAGGGAAGTACAAGGCAAATGGGAGGTCAAGGTAGACATGGATGGAAAAGTAGGACAAGTGGAATTTGATGGAGGCAGATGAAGTGGGAGGGAGAGCAAGAGTTTCCAGACAAGGAAAATCAGGTGAACAAGAGTTTGAGGTCAGATTGCTCATAACATGCCCACATCCCACACCAGAAGTGATGAGATGTTGATGGGTCCATTTTAAGAGAATGGAGAAGATACTGTGGAAGCATGCTCTTAGCTGATGTGACCCTGTGGTAACGTGACTAAAAATCAGAGTCAGAACAGAGCTGTAGGAGCAAAGCAGCAGGAAATGTTAATTCAAATGAAACAAGCAAGTATATATTCCATCATTATTATGGTCTTACCACTGTATGAGATCTTGAAAACACAAAGATGATTGAAACCTGATACTGTTTTTAAGGAATTCGTGGTAGAATAGAGAGATACACACCTTAAGCCACCACAATTCAACATATGGAGGGATGCCACAGAGCTTAGAATGAGGAAGCCAGTAGGGAAGTCAAGAAAGTGATACACAGTAGGCAATTTCTAACTGCGTGATGCAGGTGAGGAGGAGTTAGCAAAATGGGCAGGTCAGAGGAAAATGGGCAGGAAAACACAGGGAGCCATGTGTGCAAATATGAATGCATGAAAGAATATGACACTGAAACGCAGGACACACAGAGAGAGGCACTGAATGTTGCTGGTGAAAATGTGGCTGAGTGCCCCAGCCAATCAGACCTCATTAGACCTGGTAGAAATTAAGTGATGGAAGCAAAGTTCTTAACCAGGAGGCATTGTGAATGTGAAGGGTATGGACTTTGGAATCATACAGATCTTTGATTCTGGTTGGTCAAATCACTAGCTATGTCACCTTAGGAAAGTCATTTAACCTCAGTGAACTTCAAATGTGTGATCTTAAAATGGGGATCAAATGACTGCCCCGCTTTCACTCAGGCTCTTGGGTAGAATAAATAATAAAATAGTGTCTAGTGTGTATACCTGCCACATAGTGGGTACTTAGGAAATTATTAAAACTCCACACATTTGGATAAAAAGAAAGAAATATGGGTTCTGGTGGATTGTGGAGTATCGGTTCAAATAGGTGCCTGCAAGTTGGGGCATCTTGTAGGTAATGCCAGCATACAGAAACGGGTCTGGACCTAGAATACAGAGTGGATTCACAAAATAACCCATAAAATAAGGACTTTGAGTCAGAATTTCTGTAAAGAAACTATGCAATAAACCAAGACAGAGAACACAGGATATTTGAACAAGAAGAGAATTAAGTTGTATTTAGATATAATCAAGTAAGGCCCTAATCTCTTCAAATCATCAGTCATGTTACATTGGAATGTAATTGCTGGTTTTAATTGATGGAGATTCCTTAGAGCTTAATATAAATATCTGGATATATTTGAGAGATAAGAAGATATGTTTGCAGTTACAGAATTTTGCTTTCCTTAGGAAGCTAGGCTTCATGAGATTTGAGAGCAGATAGACTGTCTGCCCAGACAAGGGCGGCAATCAAGTCAGACTCCAACTCAGACAGGAACTGCCATCACCTGCATGGAGTATGGGCAGAAGTGCTATGATCTAAAGAGGCACTGATGGTTTCCTGACAGTTTGGACAAGGACAAGCCAGTAGCCCTAGCGAGTCATCAAATACTGCAACAAGTTTTATTAGGCACTGTCTGAAATCTTAAACTGAGCAGAACAGGCAGATCTATAAAATACAAAAGGATATTCATAATTATTGCGAGAAAGAGCATGAAGCAGACACAAACATTCTGGGTCATGTACAGTTAGTTCTCTAGGAGTGAGACGCTGCATCTCTCTACTACAATTGCATTAAAAGGCTGAAAATATAAATGGATATCTGGGTCTTGCATTCGCCCTAGATCCCTTATTGAGCTACTTTAAAAATGGACTCTAACCTCCACTGCAGAAAGAATTCACACAGTTAGTATTAATACAGTGGCAGGCAGTTCTAATAGCAACACCTTTAGAAATTAATTCACTGTGCTGATTTCCTCATCATTTTGAAAACTGGAATTAATATTATCATGACTACAGAGTGCAGATTTTATGGAAAAAAGGTTTTATTCCTGGGAAGAGTAACTCAATTGCTTATGAAAAAGCCAAAAAAATACGATTTTTTCATAATCTTCCAAAATGTGTGTCCTGAAAATTAGAACTAGAGTCACCTAGCTCTAAAATACATGATTTCATTAGATTAAAAAAATGAAGAACTGAAGCACAGAAATGAGACAAACAATATTCACATGAATAGATGAGGTAATTATTCTTTCACTGCAGCTTATGTATAATACATACCTGTTAAAACTAATACCACTGTCCAAGGTTATTACAATTTGCATCTCTCCTGTTTTTTAGAAAAATAGAAACATAATCACTTTTATCCAAGTCACATGAAATAGTTTTTGTCATCAGTAAATTGTGAAGTTAATTATTTTGCAGGATTTCTTTAAGGTGTATGGTGGTTAGCAGTAAATATCAACTACCCTTCCCAAGCAAACCGGCAAATAAAGGATACTGAGATGGATTAGTCAACTCTGCCACCTCTCCTAGGGCTAATTTCAGGGAATTTTTTCTCTAAATCTGTTTTCTGGACAGCAGTATAGTCCCAAATCCCTGTTAGTTTATTTTGTAATGTTGGTGGGTCGGGAATTAGAGATCTCTGTGTGTGAGGGGGCTCCCAGGAGTCTGAGGTTGCCCGATAGTTCCTTACATATGCTGGTTTGGCATCTAGAAGGAAGAGTTCCCATCATCCTGCAAACGAGCAAAAAGCACAGAGCAAAATACCTCAGTGATGTATAGATGGTAATGAGATTAAAGGGACTGATTTATCCTCGGAGAAAAAAAATCCCAAAGCAGCCTGTAAACATTACAAATTGTGAAGGTATAGAAGCTGGTTCGGTTATAAAACTCCCCTACTCCCACAAGAATTGCATAACTTTATCAATCTACACATTATGCTGGTATATACGTGACATTGCTTTTGATTAGTAGGCAAAACTGGTGTCTCGGGGCCATCTGGCATTTTATGGATAGGCACAATTGAACTCAGTCAGGTGGTTTATACTCTTTTGAATACACACTTGGAAATCAGTAACTGTTTGACATTACAAAAAGCACCTTTCTGTTCTGGAATCTAACTCTCTACATTTTTTTTATTTTTTCTTTACCATGTAGGGGACGCAGTGGCTCAAAGGTGGCACGTTTGTATAAGAAAAACATGTTGAAAGTCTAACAGACTCAGAGCTCTTACATTTTGGAGTTGACAGCTAAACCACCTTTTTGGAAAGGGCCGTCACTGACGAGGCAGGTGATAGTAGCATTAGTAACTCACTTTTCTTTCTTTTTTGAGACAAGGTCTCACTCCATCAGGATAGAGTGCAGTGGTGTGATCTTGGCTCACTGCAACTTCCACCTCCCTCCCAGGTTCAAGCGATCCTCCCACCTCACCCTTCTGAGTAGCTGAGACTACAGGCTCATGCCATCACACATGACTAATTTCTGTATTTTTTTCTTGGTAGTGACAGGCTTTCATTATGTTGCCCAGGCTGGTCTCAAACTCCTGGGCTCAAGCAATCCAACTGCCTCAGCCTCCAAAAGTGCTGGGAGCCACTATGTCCAGCCTTGTTTCTTATATACGCAGTGATTTTCACTCACATAATGAGTCAGAATTTTCTAGGCCTTCTTAAAATCTTCCCCTTAGGTCATCTTCAGTTGATCTCATAATCACATTGTTCTAGAAAATGTATCAATGAAGCTTTGGACATTTTCATGTTGAAAGACATTCCACACAGATTAGATTAACTCAAAATGCACTTTGATGGGCATGACTGTTTCAGCATCCTTAGAAGAGTCATTAAATAAATTGATCCATTTGAGCAAAAACAGATTTTGGTAAGCCCTTCTTACTTCCCTTGCTCTTCCAAGCAGGTATAGTAAGAAGGCGATTCTCTCCAGATATTGAATGAGTTTAACTGTCTCATTCATAGGAAATTTCATTTTACCATTTTGGCTTCAGCCTAAATATTATAGTTCCCTGAGTGCGTGTGTGAGGATTCCAAGGTCACACGGCTTGACTGGATACTAAATCTGCTCTTCATTTTGTGGGCAGTTATTAATTCACTGAAAGTTTTTGAATATCCATTGTGCTCCAATTTTGTTCCTAAGTACAGGGTATGCAAATATGTCTGACCTGATTTCTGCTCTCCAGCCTAGTAATAGAGACAGACTCACAAACAAATAATTACAGTACAATGTGTTATCAATCATGATAAAGGGATCTGCATGCTGCACTAGGAATACAGAGAAGAGCACTCAGCAAGGCTTTGAATGAACCAGGAAAAACACTTTCAAGTGTCCCATTTCCCCGTCTAAGGAAATCCCTTAATCTTTCTTTTTTAAATTAGGTAATTACAAGAATATAGAATTCCTAGGCTCTAAATCTCAATAGAAAATACACTTTGCAAATAACAAGGGTTTGCTGAGGGGCTATATGCACAGCTATAACACAGTTCCGAACATCCATAGTGAGGTCATGCAACAGTTTAGATCAAAGGAAGCCCCAGTGTAGTTTGCAAAGACTTTGAGACTTTGTAACAGAAAGAATCTCTGCTACTCAATCAGTTTCTGGCTTCCACCCACAATCATCAATAAGCAAGATGGGTGAATACTCTAGTCTCCAGCAGAGTGATGCACTGGATCCTTAGATTATCATACAATCCCTGGATTCCCCAAGTAGGCCAAGTCATTAATGCTGGGTGACAGGAACTTATGCTGTCCTTTGTTTCATTCTGATGGATTTCAATGGCAACACCTCTGGAGGCAAAGTCACTTTTCAAGATCTACATTTCTGATTGGGTCAAACTGGAACAATATGTCCAATAATGAAAAGAAACACTATTACTGTAGAAATATACCCATATTGATAGATTTCTATGTGTACAAAATACAAACTTCCTGTATACTATCTTAAAAGTATCTTCATTATCCTGAGACATGCACATAACGGATTATTATGACCTAAATGCTAAAATTAAATTTGACATGGCTGCAAAGGTCTCAACCAAGAAGACTGCATCACTAAGTCCAAATCACTTGTTCAAGTCTTTTGATTAGAGGTTTCATTAAATGTAGTCACTAGACATGTCACATACAGCAGGATCCACATTGCCATGCATGATGATGTTAAGAAAACCAGTGTGGAGGCAGTTGATAAAGCTCTTGATTTGTTTTCTAAACTGAATTTCCTAAAGAAACATTGACCACATGCGTGAGAAGATTCTTCCAGCAATTGTAAGCAATAATCAAATTTCCTCATAAATGAATCGGGTCAGATGACAAATCTCAGTATTGCATTACTCAGTTGAGTGACGGGAAACATAGCATATCTTTGTTTTGAAGAGTTTTATTGTCACAGAAAAATTAAGAATTTCTCTCACCTTAAGAATAACAAGAAGCATCCTGCATACCCATATGGTGTTAGCATGACTACAAGGTAGTCTCTGAAAGCCCAGGACAGACACTATATTCAGCTCCTTTTTAGAAGGGAAACAGTCTCTCTAAGCCTCAGTTCCTATCAGCAGAGAGACTACACAATTTATCATCCAACCTGTGACACCTGGGAGTGAAAGAGGGCAGGATCATCAGAAGGGAAACTGAGCAACAGGTGTCAACTGTAACTGCCCTAGGTAAATATATAGTTACCCTAATTATCAGAAAGAAGTGTGTTTGTCCAATTCAGTCATTTATGTCCTCTGACTATACATTAGAATCATCTTGGGGGAATATATGCACACATAAACACACTGAACTGGATCATCTCTAAAACCTTTTCTGGCTTTCAAATTCAAGGATCATAATTTCTGAGCATAAATTTATGGCACTTGCTATTGGCGAAGTTGTGTAACTACAAACTATTCTCATATCTGGAACACATCCAGTAAGATAATGACCAATATTCATTTAGGAAGAGTTTGCAGTTTACCACAAAAGTGTTTTGCAGTTTGCAAAAACACTTTCTCAGTGTCACCTTTTTTTCTTTAAATTCTAACCTTAACCCTGTCAGAAAGTCAGGTTGGCTTATTATTATCAACTTTTTGTAGGAGCGGAAATCATTGCTTACAAAGCGTAAATACACAGATTTAAGTCATACAAAGAGCAAATGGAATAATTAAGCCCATGTCTTGATTCTAAATGGTGGCAGATAAGAGAAGGTACCTGGCCCTCTTCTGCATGGGTTTGAACTCTACTTCTGTCTCTTTCTTAGCTCAATAAATTGGTTCAAGTCATTTAATCTCTCTAAACATTATCTCTAAAGTCACAATAATATTAATTCTTGCTTCACGGTGACGCCAGTATTTCATGAGGTATTACATGAAAGGTCTTAGTACTATGCCCAATAAATATTAACAATCATTGCTATTAGTGCTATCGTTACTCTTCCTCCATTCTTCATCCCTCCTTTTACCACTGTAATTACTATCTACTATGATGACTACTACTATTAGAACTCATAACATAAGCCTTGTTTGCTATGGTCTGAATGTTTGTGTCCCTACCCCTTCTAAATTCCTATGTTGAAATCTTCACTCCCAAGGTGATGGTATTAGGAGGTGGGGTCTTTGGGAGGTGATGAAGTAATGAGGGTGGGGCCTCATGAACAGCATGAATGTCCTTATAAAAAGGACCTCAGAGAGCTCTCTTGCCCCATCTACCATGTTGAGGACAGAGCAAGAAAATGCTGTCTCGGAAACAAGCAACAGGCCCTCACCAGACACCAAATCTGCTGGCACCTTAATCTTGGATTCCCAGCCTCTAAAACTCCAGAAAAACATTTCTGTTGTTTACAAGCTACCTAGTTTATGGTATTTTGTTATAGCAGCTTGAACAGACTAAGATAGTATTATAGGCAGAATAAGTGTATTAGTCCATTTTCACACTGCTCTAAGTACCCAACGTCTGAAATCCCAGCACTTTGGGAGGCCAAGGCGAGCAGATCACCTGAGGTCAGGAGTTCGAGACCAGCCTGGCTAACATGGCAAAACCCCATCTCTACTAAAAATATAGAAATTAGCCAGGCATGGTGGTGCACACCTGTAGTTCCAACTACTTGAGAGGCTGAGGCATGAGAATTGCTTGAACCCAGGCAGCAGAGGTTACAGTGAGCCGAGATTGCGCCATTGCACTCCAGCCTGGGTGACAGAGCAAGACTCTTGTCTCCAAAAAAAAAAAAAAAATACTCAAGACTGGGTAATTTATAAAGAAAAGGTTTAACTGACTCACAGTTTTGCACGGCTGTGGAGGCCTCAGGAAACTTATAATCTTGGCAAAAAGGAGAAGGAGAAGCAAGTACCTTCTTCACAAGGCAGCAGGAAACAGAGAGCAAAGGGGGAAGAGTCCCTTATAAAACCATCAGATCTTTTAATAACTCACTCACTATCATGAGGATAGCATGGGGGAAACTGCCTACATGATCCAATCACCTCCCACCAGGTCCCTCCCTTAATACCTGTGGATTACAATTCGAGATGAGCCTTGCATTGGGACACAAAGCCAAACAATATGAATAAGTGTCCCTTGAACTAAACACGCTTAATCACAATGAAGACCTTTGTGGTCATCTTTACCCTCCTCCCACACACATTCTTAAATAAAACAAACCACACATGAACAGTCTTCAAGTAAGACACTGTAGGGAAGCATACACCCAGAAATGTAGCAATACCAAACTCTGGCAATCCTGGGCATTTATAGCATAGGGACAGACTCTACATAGATACTCAAATGGATTTAGAAACATAGGTGACTGGCAACCTTGGAGATGTGCCACCAGAAGCTCTTTTTGGAAAAGAAGTCATTGACTAGCTTCACGGATTACAGTTGGCTGGCGGCCTCCAGCTGCAATCTCTCAAGATCAGCTGCTGTGTTTACCTGGAAGTCACACTCTTCTTGGGGGAGCTCCTAGCCAAGGTGGAGTATGGTGACCAAAACTAGGGTGTGTCCATTTCTGTCTTCTGTGTTGCTGCCCTATGAAAAATCTTTGCACTGGAGACCCCTGGGCTGGCTGAACCTTCCTCAGAGATACAATGACACCTGAGGATCTTCCTATCCAATCTTCCTCCATTCCCCCTTCCCTTCACAGGTTTCAGACTGCACTGTGGTCAAAAGCCCCCCAGGTCCAAAGTAACCGCCTCAAACATCTCCACACATCTTAAACAACTCTACCCAAGGTTGTACTCTACGTATTTGAGAAATAATGAAAAAAAAATTCTAGGTAAACACTTTGTTCCAAAATTCTGTTATTTTCCTGGTTTTCTAATAGTTTACTTATTTGGACAGTTCTATGGAGTTACAAGGTTGACTGGCTTGTCTTTTTAATGGACCGCCTACCACATATGGCTTAGGGAAAAAGTGATTATGGATCATGATCTTTTTATGTCATCTTTGTATCGCAAACTAAATTTGTTAAGCCACATTAGCTCAAAGATATATTTTAATAATGCCAGATCTATAAATTGTAGGAAAGTGAATTAGAATTTCAAAATGTATTTAGTTCCAAGGAATTGGATTACTTGAAGATATATTTTTCATCTGAAGAGAGAAAAGGTGTTTTAAATTGCTGCCCATATTAACCATTTAGTAATTTTTGTTTTTCAACATATTTAAAACATTAAATAAAAAATCTTCATGCTAAATAGTAAAGTATTTCAAAATATTAGTTTGATCTGGTAATCTAAATGTTTTTAATATAAATATTGTTAAGGTTAAGGATAACAAAATAGTTTCAGTTTCTGTGTGTAGTCTATACTCTTTGCACATATTAACTCATTTAGACTTACACATTTAAAAGCTTAAGTATAATCATTATCCCCTTACCACACATTTTATTCATTATTCTGTTCTAGTAAGTTAAATGTTTTTAATGTTAATCTTGCCATGATTTAGAATAACAATATAATAAACTGTTCTGAACACTTAACAAATAGTATCCCATGCTCCTTATATATATATATATTAGTCATTTAGCCTCATAAACATTCTATAATTTAGGTCTAATAATTATCCACAATGTATAGATTAAGAAACTGAGGGAGGCGTGTCATGGGTGCGACGTACTGGGGCCAGTGTTGTGTGAGGTAAAGGGATTTGCCAAGACAGTTATAGGTAAAGAAAGGCAAATTTTTTAGAGAAAGTATGAAAATACATTGCAAGGGTGTAACAGGCAGCACAGCAGAGAAGGGAATGTCTGCCGAGAGGCAGGGGCTGGAAGGAAAGTCTTAGAGGGCTGTGCTAGAGGGGGATATGGGTGGAATGAAGTCATGCTGTTGGGGTTATGTGCACAGGGAGGTAGTTGTGTCAGTGGGCTGTTTGTGATTGGCTGTCTCTCACTACAAATTCATTGTGTTCCTCACCAGGGGCCCTCCCCGATCTTGGACCCTTGCCCACTTGGGGCCCCTTCCTTGTTGTTACTTACTTATCAGGACTCCTTAAGGTAGAACAAGAGGGCAGAACAGAAAGTTCTACAGATTGTCCCCCAAGCAAGGACATCAAGTTAACAAATAGTTACACAGAAAAAACACCTGTATAAGAACAAAAACTCAGGTGAGTACTCATAGGACCTGGTTTTAACTTCATATCACTGAAAGAGACACTGAAGAGAATAAAAACAGTCCTGAATCACCAACGCCACCAATCCCACGCCCCACAGCAGCAACACTAAACTCAGTGCTGTCCTATTAGAGCAGAAAAGAAAATCAGACGACTGTCACCACCGTTAATTCAACTTAATACCGGAAGTCCTAGGTAGGGCAATCAGACAAGAGAAAGATATAACCGGCATCCAAATTGGAAAAGAAGAGTCAAATTATCCTTATTTTCAGATGACATAATCTTATATTTAGAAAAACCTAAAGACTGTACAAAAAAGCTATTAGAACTAACAAATTCAGTAAAGTTGCAGGATACAAAATCAATCTACAAAAATCAGTAGCATTTCTATATGGCAACAGTGAAAAAGAAATTTAAGAAGTAATCCCATTTAAAGCAGCCACACATAAAATATAATACCTAGGAATTAATGAAAGAAGTGAAAAATCTCCATAGTAAAAACTATAAAACAGTGATGAAAGAAATTGAACAGGACACAAAAAATGGAAAAATATTCCATGTGTATGGATTGGAAGAATCAATATTGCTAAAATGTCCATACTACCCAAAGCAAGATTCAGTACAATTCTACCAATATGCCAACAGCATTCTCAGAAATAGAAAAAACAATCCTACAATTTCTATGGAACCGCAAAAGACCCAGCATAGCCAAAGTTATTCTAAGCAAAAAGAACAAAACTGGAGGAATCACATTACCTGACTTCAAATAATACTACACAGCTATGGTAACCAAAATAGCATGGTATGGCATAAAAGTGGACACATAGACCAGTGGAGCAGAATAGAGAACACGGAAACAAATCCATACACCTACAGTGAACTCATTTTTGACAAAGGTGCCAAGAATATACACTTGAGAAAAGACAGTCTCTTCAATAAATGTTGCTGGGAAAACTGAATATCCATATTTAGAAGAATAAAACTAGACCCCTATCCCTATCTCTTACCGTATACAAAAATCAAATCAAAATGGATAAAACACTTAAACCTAAGACCTCAAATCATGAAACTACTACAAGAAAATGTTGAGGAACATCTCCAGGACATTGGTCTGGGCAAAAAATTTTTGAGCAATACCTCACAATCACAGGGAACAAAAGCAAAAATGAACAAATGGGATCACATCAAGTTTAAAACCTTCTGCACAGCAAGGAATACAATCCACAAAGTAAACAGACAATCCACAGAAACAGAGAAAATACTTGCAAACTACCCATCTGACACGGGATTAATAACCAGAATAGGTAAGGGGCTCAGATAACTCTCTAGAAAACAAATCTACTAATCCAATCAAAAGGTGGGCAAAAAATTAGAATAGACATTTTCCAAAAGAAGACAGACATACAAATGGCAAACAGGCATACGAAAAAGTACTCAACATCATTAATCATCACAGAAATGCAAATTAAAACTACAATGAGATGTCATTTCACATCAATTAAAATAGCTTATATCCAAAAAGCAGGCAATAACAAATGCTGGTGAAGATGTGGAGGAAAGGAAACCCTTGTATACTGTTGGCAGGAATGTAAATTAGTACAACCACGATGAGGAACAGTTTGGAGGTTTCTCAAAAAACTAAAATTTGGGCTATTGTATGATCCAGCAATTCTACCACTGGATATATACCCAAAAGAAAGGAAATCAGTATATCAAACACATATCTGCACTCCTATGTTTTTTGCAGCACTGTTTATAATAGCTAACATTTGGAAGTAACCTAAGTGTCCACCAATAGCAACCAATGAATGGATAAAGAAAATGTGGTACATATACACAATGGAGTACTATTGAGCCATAAAAAAGAATGAGATGCAGTTATATGCAACAACATGGAAGAAACTGGAGATCATTCTGTTAAGTGAAATAAGCCAGGCACAGAAACATCACATGTTCTCACTTATTTGTGGGATCTAAAAATCAAATCAATTGAACTCATGGAGCCAGAGTAGATGGATGGTTACCAGAGGCTGGGAAGGTTAGTTGGGATGGGATGGGAGATAGGTGGGATAGTTAATGGGTACAAAAAAATAGAATGAATAAGACCTACTATTTGATGGCACAAGAGTGTGACTACAGTCAATAATAACCATACATTTTAAAATAAAGAGTGTAATTGGATTGTTTGCAACTCGATGGATAAGTGCTTGGGGGATCAATACCCCATTCTTCCTGATGTGCTTATTACACATTACATGCCTGTATGAAAACATCTCAGGTACCCCACAAATATATACACCTACTATGTACCCACAAAAATTGAAAATAAAAAATTTTGAAAAGAAAGAAAGTGAGGCACAGAGAGGTTAAGTAACCTTCCCAAGGTAACACAGCCATAGGCGGTACAGCCTAGATTTGAACCAGGTAGTCTGCATGAACCAAGAAAAGCAAATGCTGACTTATCTTAAGCAACATCAATTAAACTTGTAGTCTGTGAATGTGTGCATATGTAAAGGTAACAACACACTTGCAAATTGAATAATTTTGAAGTGAACTTTATATACACACACACACACACACACACACACACACACACATATATATACATACACACACATATATATACACACACACACACACAATTGTTTGATTTAAAATGTATCAGAATGTTAAAATCCAAATGCTCATTGCCCTTGTCAAAGTACTCAACTTGAATAGTCAAGGCATATTCGGGCTGCCAATACTCGGATTGGCAACCTGCCCTCACTTGTTCAAATGAGTCTCTTATTGCAGGAGAGTTCCTGGAAGCAACATAATCAATTAGCAAGCTATATAAGCAAATCCGTCTCAGCACTCACACCTATCTGGTTTTAGACTAGAATTTTCCAGTTGTGCTTCAATCATTTTGTCAGCTGTCTTATAGTCACTTATTGATAAGTATCCATTGAACATCTACTGCATGCCTGTCCCTCTGTTAAACCCTGGAGCTATTAAAAGGTCAGTGTGATTCTAATACTACATAGACCTAGCAAGAGGTATTACATTTTAGACTTTAGCTTAGAGAAAAAGAATACAAATTATATCAAATGTTGATCATTTATTTCCCTATAGGCTATTCAACAAAATACCCTAAACCTTTGAAGGCAATTCCAAATTCCTCCTTTTTCTGGGACTATGACACAGTCCTGATTAAGGTACCTTCTCAACTCTTCAGCCATGCCCTGGAATTCTATTGGCCCAGGACTGATCATAGGAATCATGTTGTTTTCACATGTGACCTGACCCCAGGACTGGAGTGGGTAAGATCCCACATTGTCTTGTACCACCTTCCACTTCAGGCTTAGATTTCTGTATTGCAATAGCTACCATCTTTAACCCTCCTTAGACTGTGGCCTACCTGTGTCAGTCATTATTATGTCCATAGTGCCTATGAAAATGTCAACACACAGAGCACTCTCAGTTGATACTGAGGAATATATACATTCTTGGAAACATATTCATCAATTATGGAAATAGTTGGTAAGCTCTTAATTTATGTTGAAGAAACACTTGCTTGAAAGTATGAGTACTGATAGGTGTGTTAAAATATATCTTATTACTTTACAGACATCCTTGCCATTGGTGTATTTAATGTTTCTAGTATTGAGGCCCCTGGCATGTCAGAATTTATACATTTATTAAGACACAAATTCTACCAGCATGGTTGTTAAAAATAGTGGGTGAGAAAAAGTCACTTCAGTGGTGACAAAGCCTAGTAAATACTCAAACACCAACATCTAATATAATCTTTGGTCTCTTATCCATAACAATTATGTGCAAAAATGATACTCATGAGTCTAGGTTATTGATAAAATGTCTGGAAACAAAATATGTAAAAAGGAGTCATGAATATTTCATAATATTAGGTAACTTACTATGTAAGAACTTAAATTATTGGTAGCTCTTTTATTAGGTTATAACTTATATTGGTAGGTTTTGACATAATATTTTGTATTAAAATTTGAGATACAAATTTCTACAAAGTAAATTACAAAATGCTTTTACCTATATGTGTGTGAATATATCATACATATAATATTACATAAGTAGTCAATTTTTAATTCCTGTTTGTATTCTTTAAATTTCCTATGATGAACATGTATTTCTTTGGAAACTGAAAAAAATTTTTTTCTTAAAAAAACTAAATTCCAACAAGAATAGAAAGAATGTATATTTCTTTTGTGAAATGAACAGTCCCCACTGAGTGTGTATATCTACAGACAAACATAATAGAAAAGCCTATCTTCATATCCTAAAGGTTACATTAGCAGTAGCTTTAATGTTAAGATCTAATGAATAATTATGCTACTTAATGTAGAAATCGTCTTATGTTCATTTTTAACCTTTAGTTTGCTTCATTAAAAAAAATAAAATGAATCTATAAAGTGGGCTTAATAAAGTAGGGAGTATTTGCTAATCCAGTGAACATTTTAAATAAAAATAAAAATTAAAAACAGTCTAAACAAGTATCTATACTCTATGACTGTTTGAATTTTTAATTCTGGAAAAAATCAAATTCATCTATGTTTAAAATCAGTAAGAGTTCTGCAGAGTCAAGGTAGAGGATGCATGAGACAAGAAAGACAAAAATGACACTGAGTTATTCTCTTTTCAATCTTTACTAATTTAATTTTGCACTGAGATTTCAATCATGACTCAGATAAGTAACATAAAGCAGCTCTTGCCATGCAGCACATGTAGATGCAAACAGATAATAAAATTTGATCTGAAAACTTTCTGATGCCTCGCTGGAGTTGGTTTGGGAAAGGGTAAAATACAGGTAGTGGGAGAGTCAGCTGGTTTCTCAATGGACTAAGGCCACGTGAAATTGAGACTTCCTTGGCTCTTTCAACCCAAGGAATTGTGGCTTCTCACCTGCATTTACTTACTTGGGTCTCTGATTTGCAATATCCAGTTCTCATCCGCCAGCAGGGGGAAGACTGGAAACAGTTATAGAAAGGCATCTTGAAGACAAGAAATGTACTTTCACATGCAGGTCAGGCCCACCTGGCATCAATTTTTGTGGGATTATGCATGTAATCTTGGAGGATACACTAGCACTATTCTGAAAGTCACTCATTAACTAAGGGCACACATTTCTGAGACTCTGCTGTACTTAATTGCTACTATCTTTTTAATTGAGTTCCTTGAAAAAATAAAGCATCAGAAGTTTTCTGAACTCTGACAGCAATCAATGAAAAGACAGGGAGAAAGTGAGGGCTATAATTACAATGATGATAGTTCCTCAACAGAGTAATCAAGCCAGCTCGTGTTTATTGTTTTCTAGTAAAAAAAAAGTACAGGCTCTGAGCACTGATTTGAATCTGGACTTCTTTCCTGGCTTTGCTTCCTTCCTGTCCAGGCCCCTGGGAAAGTGCCTTGGCGTTTTGGGGCGAGTGCCTTTATCCAGCTCTAGGGTGTTTACTGTGGACACTGACATGATGAATACAACATGGTGAGCAAAGACACTGGCACACAGTGTGGGCTCTGCAACTGCTCCCAGATTATTTTTATTATCTTTTATTTATAAAATGTTGTGTTCATCTTCTGTATTGATCCAGTTACCAAAAAACTGTAAATAATAGTCAGAGAAAAACCAGATATCTAGATATAGATCTAGATGTATGATTTATCTATTCGAAAGTTAACGTATGACCAGGACAGTTAACCAAGTACGAAGGGTGCTGTAGAAAACTTCAGGAATGTTGTCCAGCCCATGAGCTTCTAAGTCCCAGCCCCCCAGCCA